TAAATCCTTCACTTTTCTATAGCTTATTTGGGGGAGGAAATGGTGGAACCTCTACTCTCTCTCCCCCTCGATGAGAACAGTGCTTTTGTACCTCAGCTGGGACCAGGCATTGGGTTGTGCTTGCTTTCCAGTGTTTGTCCTTCTTGACTGATCCTGTTCTGGCCTTCCTCTCTTCAGAAAAAGGGCTCCTAATCCTCTCTGGATGCCCAGGTCTTGCACTCTGCTATAAATTTCCTCGTATATCTAGTCATTGCTCTAGACTTGCATTGTCTGCCTTCAATACTCGTCACCTTCAATGCACTGCCTTCTGTACTGGGGCTTGCCAGAAATCTTACAGCATTGCAACTGTGCTGGAGCAGCTGCACGGTTCTACCTGTCGCTTGCGGTGCTCTGCTCTGCTCTGCTCTGCCATTCAGATACTGGTCTGAGCCCAAAGACCCAGATGTTGTACTCTTAGCTGACAGCTTAGTGCAATTGTTCATAGTTTGGCCTATACATGGTGACCCACGTTTGCCATGAGCTGTACCAGTAGACTTCTCAAAGTCTTTGTGCTCAGGATCCCACCAAATTCCTCTCTTTGAATGATGTTCCACAAATGCCTGGTGACAGGCCTGAAAGCCAGTGGTGCATCTACCCAGCACGGCTTGCAGTATGTCCACCAGTATCTCACAGAGCTTCTGGTCTGCTTTAAAAGTGTCTGATAAAATTTTCTTTCTGTCTGCCTGGAATTTGTGGAACATCAAGTGTTTTATATGTCATATCTAAGGACTGGTCTCTTTTTGAGAAGTTGTAAATCACTAATCGTGTAAAATACATTGAGGCACTAAAGGCAAAGAGGAGGAAAAAAAAACAAAGAAAGAAAAAACCCAACTTGTTAGTCTACACATTCTGCATGTCTCCAGATTACATTAATGGTATTTTGGCCTGAGAGACTCTGCAGGAGTGGCCTCCTTGGAGCATAGCACAAGAAATTTAGGCAAATTCAACATTTATGTGGAAAACAAAGCAGCACCTTCCCCTTTTGAACACTACCTTTGTAAAGTAGCCTAGAACAGCACAGACCTTAGCACTTCATCAGTCCTCTGCTGACATGGAAGTTTGAAATCCAAAAGCAAGATGTTTGGATAAGATGGAGACTGTTCTTGGAACCAAACCCTTGCTGTAGTTAGAGGCACAGAAGTTTGGGAAATGTAACAACTTGCAGGATGCCATTTGGGTTCTACAGTCGTTTCTGGAGAGCTTTGCCTGGAATTAGGGAATAGCAATGCCACGGTGCAATAACATAATTAAGAATGGTGGAAATGAAGATAGAGCATGAATGTGTTTCTTTAGACTAGTGCTATGCCAACACAACACTGCTGCAAGGACACAGACAGCAACCAAAATGCACAGGGAACAACCCACTTCTGGTTCTGGAACTAGTTTGTTCCTTGGGATCTCCAGGCAGTGCTGCATGCTATGGTATGAACATGCCCTCGAGCTCTCTAGCAATCAGGCGTCTGCGGCAGCGGTTAGTTTTTAGAGAAGAGCTGGGGGGACAGGCTTGATAAGGTGTAATTCTTCAAGCGGTACCGTTGCAGAACTTCTGAAAGAAGTTGAGTGGATCTCACTGATAACCCAGCATCTGCATTGCAGGAGAATGCAACACGGACCTAGATAAATTGGAAGCTTTGATGTCCAAGTTCAAGTAAAGGGAGGGTTACTGACCGGATCTCTTCGTGATTTGGTGGTGGTGGTGTCAGGCAAAAACCCACATTTCTGGTTACAAGAAAGCTTTGTGCAGAAGTAGTAGTGTGCTCCTCCAAATGTGTCTGATGGGTAGTACTGGGATTTGTGTTGGTGCTCGTTAGGGAAACTCCGAAGTGGGATGCTGGATTTAAGGAGGCTGGCCAGTAGGGTGGAGTTAGAGAGATTGGGCTATGGAAGTCTTGGATGAGGTAGTGTGTTACAGAGGATTCCCTAAGAGTATGGAGCAAACCTATGAATAATTAAAGGATGTGATTGACTGACTTACTAGATTTGCAATTTGGAATGGAGATTTTCCTCCTGCAAGCTTCTTGCACGCTCTCTGACTGGAATACTATTTCTTAAATATTTTGCATGACTGAAATCTCAGTAGTACTGCTCGTGCACTCCTCGCCTCTTCTTCAGCAGCTCTGATATTTCGCTGACATCAACTGCACACACATGACTCACCTTCTCAGTATGTATATCCTGACTTTTCTGTCTGGTTTTCCTTCTTCATGGGGCCGTACTGTGTTTATATTTTAAGTCTCCTTGTATTCCTATTTGACTATTTTCTGTTTTAGTGCTGTCATTATATTATTTTATTTTTACATTCAGTTGTACATTAATTTTATACAATGTTTTGGAGATGAAAGTCCTTAACATTTTTGTTTTTATGTACTATGCTTTCAGTGTTATAACCATACAATTGTGGCTTCTCATGGTGACATATGACTGCTATGAATGTTGGGCCTTTGCAATGCATTTTGGAGGTCACTACTACACATTTGATGTTTAGGAGGTTGACAGGTATGGCTGTAGGTAAGTGGTGGTTGTGGAGAGTATTCTTTGGGTGAGCTATGGGTTGTGGAGAAGGCCTCCTACACTGTAGAGGAGAGCTGTACACTTAGTGGAATATTTGGCATTAACAGAGCACTCAGGACAATAGAAGGAAGATACCAGCAAAGATTAATAGAGCTTCTGGACTGTGAAGAGGACCACCTTGGTAGTAGTTACATTTGGGAGGTATTTCTCCAATGCAGGCTGGTAGGTTGATAAAGTACATTTTCTAGGTAAATATAAAACTCAGATGTATAACTGAAGAGTAAGTGAAAGACCAGGGTAATTATTCACTGACGTCTCCTGGATGAGGGGCAGGTTATATCAATAAACAAAAAGTTACAGGATATCTCTGATACAAATATCGCCCTATAGACACTGACGATCCAGGGTTTCTGAATGACATCTAGTTCCTAAGAACAAGGAATGACATGTGGACCTGCTGGGTTTCTCTTTTGCAGTGGCAGGATGCTCATGGACTTTGGTTATACTTATAGACTTACAGCGAGTACAAGAACATCTCCAAATCCTTTCATCCAACAGAAGTTTTGTTTGGGGAAGGAGGTTTTATAGTTGCACTTTACACTTGATATTCTTTGTCCCTTTGTGCATTAGCACGGCAGGCAAACTGCAGTTGAAGTAGTACAAGGCTTACTGGATCATATTTTTTCTCCAAAAACCTGGTTTGGTTTTTTTTTTTCTTTACATATTAGGAAAGTAGCTCCTGAAACAGGAACATGAAGTAGAGGTGGGAAGTGTGTTTTTCACATGTAGCAGCTTAAGTGAAAAGTCCCCATCTCTGTCTTGATGCTAAAATCAGCAAATGTGCAGGGAGATGATTTGAATGTCCATGTGGGAATGTGGGTGGTGTTTGGACTGACAATGCAGAAACTATCTATAAAATGTGGATTGTATTTAATGGAAATGCAGTTTAAAAAAAAAAAATCTTAATTTCCAATATAAATGCACAGATGCAATGTAAAACCTTTGACTTCCACAGTGCAGTGTACAGCAGGGTATATTAAGATAAGCATACAGAGGCCAGTCTAATTAAAGGAAGATCTTAATAAGATTCCAGATTTTAAAAAAAGTATGGCTGCAAAGGGTTAAGTCACCATTTTTTCAGTCTTCTCTCTCATTCCATTTTGAACCTTTTTGTCATGTTGTGAAGTTATTATTAGAACAAGAGAAAGTGACTTCCAAATTAGTGAAGCAGCGTCACAGCTCCAAGGTGGGGAGGCTCTGAGCAGAATCAGGATCTTTCTAGTACTTGCACAGGAGGGAGAGGCAAGTAGTAAAGATTAAAGCTAGGTCTGGATGTGCAGATGCTGAATGTCACTGCACCCGATTGCAACTCATTATCGCATATAACTCTCAACATTAATTTTGTCATCTCCCTGCAGGCAGTAATTAGAGTGGGCTGCCATGAAGAATGGGGAGATCTCATTTGGGTCTGGGAGTGATCACAGCATTGGTCAAGACGTTAATTGGCTGACTGTGAAGCAGTACTGCTTTAATTGACAAACAAGGGCCACAGTATAAAGTCCCGATCGAGCTATGAAAGCCTCACGTGTTTTTCAAGAGGTTGTATTACAAGAAATGGGGCTGTAATGTCTGTAAAACTGAGAGCCGTTTGTGCGCATTTCACACTGGGAATCCATCTCCTATGTTAATTTGTCCGCTTACGATTTTTGAGTTCATGGGTCTTGTCATCCTGTCATTTGGACGTGGGGAGACCACACCTGTTTCTCTTGTATTGTCAAGCTGGACCCACGCCTGGCTGTCTTCTGCGCAAGGTGGTATGGGGACATAGGTCTCCTGCGCTACCAAAGTGAGACCATCCCAACTTGGTATTTGCTTTGCTTCTGCAGTTTATAGTGTCAAAACCACTTTGCTATTCTCTCATCCAGGTTGTGTTGATGGCTTACTATAATGACATCATCCAAGACCTCTAAGAGGCCACTTCATATCCTTCCCAAGCAATATCCGTGTTGCCTTCCAGTCTTGGGAAACACTGGCCTGGCTTACCACAAGTGCCAAAGCGCTTCAGCTTCCACTGTAGTCAGTGTGAGCTGCAGGTGCTTTTCACTTACAATAAGGCCACCTTTTCTGAGATGCATGATGAAGAGATCACATACTGATGTGACTTGTGAAGAACAATGTTTAGTAGTAAAGGACAAAGGATATCAGTCCTTTCGCAGGTGGGATTTGCTTGCTGAGTTCAGCACGAGAACTCACTGCTTCGTTGTGGTTGCAGTGCCTAGTGTCACAGCAAGCGCTGGACATATAGCTGGTACAGCGAGCAAGACTCATTCTCCATAATGCTTTAAGGTAGCCATACACCAGCAAATGGGAGATTAATTGAAATGTATAGCTGTGCTTTTCCCTTTTTGTTCTTCCCCACCCTGGAATTGCCATAGTGCCCCCAAGATGAAATGTCCGAATCTGGGCAGTCCTCAGCAGCCGCCACACCGAGCACCACTGGAACCAAGTCCAACACTCCCACGTCATCTGTGCCCTCTGCTGCCGTCACACCCCTGAACGAGAGCATCCAGCCCATCAGCGAATACAATGGCACGACCAAGAACAATAAGAGGGCACGAGAAAAACGGAACAGCCGGAACATGGAAGTCCAAGTCACGCAGGAGATGAGGAATGTCAGCATAGGTATGGAAGCTGGGGCTTGGATATTTGGTCATTAAAGTAATTGACTTCCCAGTGCTTGTGTCCCTCTGTTACAGGAAGAAGCTGGGAGACTGAGCTTTATAAGTATAGAATTTGAGGTAGCCTCACTTTGAAAGATAAGTGAGCAAAACAGGGCTACTTGGATGTTGGCAGTCTTCTGGGTAGCAAATTTCTAAAACATCAGTAATATGAATAGTTTCACAAATATACAGGATGGGGGTAGGTTATTGAGTTCGGTCCCCTGCGGTTGCACTCATCCACATTGCAGAACCTCTTTCATGAACAGTCAAGTCCCATCTTAGTCTAACTGAGCTTTTGGAAAGCTGTTTCTGGACCTCACCAGTATGATAGTTAAAAGCTTGCATTTAGTTTTCTCTCTGGATTTATTCGTAAGTATTTTATATCCAGTTGTTGATATGCCAAATTTGACAGTCAGGTTAAATATTTTCCGTTCTGTGTGTTTATCCGACACCTCAATGTGTTTAAAAGTAGCAGTTATATCCAGCTGTTTTTCTCAGCTAAACAAGCTGTTTTCTTTTAGTCTATTTCTCATATAAGAAATCCCTCAAATCTTTGGAAATTACAGTTGTTTTCTCTCACTTCCCAGAGTCCTTTAGTAAATTGAATTCATGATTTCTTGTCAGGAAACCCATGACCTAAGTCTTTAGCACCAGGATGTTTAAATAAAGAAAATGGTGTAATAACATGATAAAAGCCCATTTTCTGTGTTTTTTAATATAGCTGTGCCGATGTATTATCTGAGCCTGTACTGTATTTAGACTTGAAGCAGCCTTCAGAAATGAGAAGAGGTCTGTTTTACTGGTCATGAACTTAGATTCAAAAGGACTGTAAAACTAGCTGAAGATCATAAAGAAAATCTGTGCAGGAGCACAGGTATGAGTGCAGGTCTCCAGGGTTAGCATCTGTACCAGGTGATCATCTTTTTTCCAAAGTAATACAGAGGAAATTCCTCTGCTAATGTTCACAGCTGTTTCCTAACAAATTAAGACTATAAACCAACGTGTAACATCTTTTGTTGTGGCATTTGAGTGAGAATTGTCGTGACCGCGTCCCATTCTGTATTTATATTAGTGGCTGAGGGGGTCCCAGGGTCACAGATGTCAATCTGCCAGAAACTAGTGTAGTTCTCCATAAAAGCATATGGCTTCTGCATAGCCAGCTGTTAAATTGTGATCTGTTCGGTGATCCTGGCCAAGGCAAGTCAGTATAAGCATTGGTATCAGAGAAGTTGAGCACGGATATCAGTAGTTTGAATGCCCCATAAATACTTATCCTTAGTTTTACAGTTGCTGCTTTACAAGCTTGTTTACCAACAGTAGCTTTCTTGGGTAAAGTCTGCTCACTTCTGTATGTGTGTAACTCTGAAGTTATTGTGGCTGTGAAAGCTTCTTTTTTCTTGGTGGAAGTATCGTATTGTGGAACCTGCTCCAGGCAGATAGTTTTATCTTTCCTATGTGCTCTGCATATTCAACGTTTCAGCTATTTCTCACACGTAATGCAAAGTCAGATCTCCAGGCTGGGGAGAAACACAGATACTTGAATTTTAATTATGTATTTTGTGCATCTATAATTAAAATGTCTGTCAGTGATGCAAATGCCTTAGAGCTGAACTACCAAAAAAAGGTACTCAAAAATATTTGCAGAAAGGCTTCCCAGCTTGAAAAAAATAAAAGCCTCTGTTTCTGTGAGCTTGAGAACCACTGGTGTATGGATGCCTGCTTTGGCAACAGATACACATCTTGCTTTGTCTTCAAACATGGCATTTGTTGCCAGTTGGTGCACAATGCCAGCCTAAAAGAATAAAATCAACACTCAAGTTGTCATGGGCTTTGTATATTTGGCTACTGAGGCCGTTTGGAAAGGTCAAAAATTTCACATCTAACGTAGTTGAGGGACTAATGTGGTTTACAAATTAGGTCTTTAATCCTTCAAGAATTTCTTGTGTGAACAGACACTGTGTTCATATTGCTTGTTTAGAGTAGATGTAAGTCTGAGCTTTTGAACAGTTTAGTATCCAATAAATGTGACTTGACAAGAGGAGGAAGTTCCTTATTCTTTAAATACTGACTTCAGGCTGTAGATTGTACAGAAACCAGAGTAAATTTCATGTATGAGTTTTTAAGTGAAATTTCACTGTAATGGGTATCCAAACCAGTTGTAGACTTGAGAATTTGTGTTGAAAAAATATTTCTATTAAAACTAAACACTGCCAATTCATAACTCCACTAATCTCTGTGAAGCTATACAGAAAATCACTGTGTTGTGTTCAATCCCAGCTAAAGCTACATCTTGATTGAAGAGTTCTTACTGGCAGATAAGAAGTTTATTTGGAATTTATTTTAATGAATGAAACATTTCTGATTATCACACTTCAGTGAGGATCCATGTCAGTGACCTTGGTGACACTCTGGTATGGGTCTTCCTGCGCTGGAATTCTGAGGACCCTTTCCCAGCACTGGTGAATTTGTGACTCTAGATGATCAGCCACTTTCTGTTCCTATTTTAAGACTTTGAACACAACACCATAAAGTTTTGAAACCTCAATGTTCAAAGCTGCAAAAGTCCCTTCAAGGAACACTATACTGTGAAATTCCTGATCCTATAGATTGTATGCATTGTCTTATGTAGGAATGGGCAGCAGTGATGAGTGGTCCGATGTTCAGGATATCATAGACTCTACTCCAGAGCTGGATATGTGTCAAGACCCCCGCCTGGAACGCACTGGTAACAGGTATTGATTGTGACTTTTCACTGTGTGCTCTTTTGCTTGGTTTTGTGAGGAGTGACGAACGGATGCTGTGACTGACACTGAATTCAAGATGCAGCTGTTAGAGAAAGTCCGTATATTCTGCCTGCTGTGAATATGAGGGGTCCGGACCTTCTTTGAGTTCTCCAGAGAAGGCAAATGTCTGCTGGTAATCTGCAGAAGGATCCATCCAGCTGACCCAGAACTGGGCTTGTTTGCATTGCTGGATCAGGGAGGACGAAGAGATGGAGCAACAAAAGATTTCACAGAATCTTAGAATCCCAGACTGGTAGGGGTTGGAAGGGACCTCTGTAGATCATCTAGTCCAACCACCTGCTAAAGCAGGATCACCTAGAGAAGGTTGCACAGGATCGCGTCCGGGTGGGTTTTGAATCTCTCCAGAGAAGGAGACTCCACAACCTCTCTGCGCAGCCTGTCCCAGTGCTCGGTCACCCTCAGAGTGAGGAAGTTTTCTTCATGTTCAGATGGAACTTCCTGTGTTCCAGTTTGTGCCCGTTGCCCCTTGTCCTGTCGCTGGGCACCACTGAGAAGAGTCTGGCCCCATCCTCTTGACATCCACCTGTTAGATATTTATGAGTACTGATCAGATCCCCTCTCAGTCTTGTCTTGGAGAGCAGGAGCAGGACTACTCCACGAGGGAGGACAAACAGAGTAACCTCAGTGATCCCACTCCTGCAGAGAGGGCAGAGCACTGATAACAAGCTCCATCAGCAGCCCCAGACAAGGCAAGGGGATGAATTAGGTCCCCGTGCTACCCATGAACAGCAGGAGACAGGGCTAAAGACAGGTGCACCTACAGTGAAGCTCAGAGACAGACTGAAGGCACAGGCCTGAGGTTAAAGGGAGCGCTTCGACCAGTGAGTGGGTGGGTGCGGGTCCCAAGTGAGGCTGGTCAGAGCAATTTTTACCCATCAGTGCACTCAGGACCTTGATGGAGGCCTCTGAATTAGCAGACTCACACTGAACTACTGTGCTGCTCTGGTTCCTATCCATCACCCATTTTGTGCTAATCCTATTTAGCTCCCTAAAGGTTATTAATTTAGCTGCCTAAAGTCTATTAATTTTGGCACTTTATTTCTGTGAGGCATGTATTAGTCTAGAATTATTAGTCTAGGCACCTTGGGTTTACTGTGGTCTGGTGGTTAATTTTAAAGGATTCATTCTTTTTTACACTCGTCCAGTGTGTAATTTGGCACTACACCACCAAAAATAACCCCCTAGCTCTTACAGGTATGTGGAAGATAATACCTTGACAAAGTTAAGGCAAGATTTTCTCACAGTCCAAATCTGGACTGGATTCCACCTGTTGAGGACCCTCATTGAGAAGGGTATGAGCAGCAATAACAGAAACGACATACAGTTAAGGTCCCATCAGAATTTGTAGGATGCATGGACAGTTAGTAGGGTCAGGTGCAGGAGGAATCTAGGTAGCCAAAACAGCTCTGTGTGGGGAAGACAAAAGTGACTGGTGAGATCAGATTGAAAATTGGTCAGACCCAAGGAAAAGAAGGGAATGGAGAGGATTGCTGCACTGGGAGCTCTTCAGACAGAGATCTCTGATCCAGGTAGTGAGACTGAAAGCTACACGAGACACAAGCTGACTCGGGCTGCTGGACAGTGTGCTTGCTGCTTTAAAAGCAGAACGCTTTTGAGATACATACAGCTTCTCAAAGTTGAGTGCCCAAGAGGTAGGTTCAAGCTGAATTGGGTCTTCAGGTCAGATGCCAGTGCTGGTTGCTTCTTGTCACTTGTGGTGTCCATTAGACTGCATGAACTGAGTAATTCTGGTGCAGTCACGGCACCAGTTTGTAACTCCTCAGTGCTCTCAGATGTCTGGGTAGCTGTAATTTTTCTGTAATTAAAAAACAACTGCTATTTTTTTTTTCTTTTCTCTGCATTGTGCTGTAACTGCAATATCAGAGGCAGCTACTGCACCCCATTTGTAACCTCCAGGCTTTATCAGCAAGACTTGATTTAGCTAAAAATGGAGCCACACAACTTGAAATAATCTCCAGTGGTACTGACCTTTCTGTTAGACTGCTGGAAAAATTGCACAGCCTCTTTTCATGCTGGCTGATTGCTCTCATACAAGGCAAGGCACTTAAAAGTGTTTATACTCACATTAAGACTTTTTTTTAGAGTAGGCAACGATAACCCCAGAGGTTACCTCACCCTTGCCTCCAGCAACAGCTGTTTTCTGTTTGAACCATAAGGCTGTCGAGAAATGCAAGAAGATTCTTGATGGTACGAAAGACAGCAAGAGGTGGAAATGTGCTCCTGTGTGATATGATTCGAAAACATGAACTTTGAGTTATCTTTAGTGATACATATTTTGCTGACATCTGAAGAAGCCTTTCGGTGCATAGACTCACCCCAAGAAGAAACTAACCCTTCAGGCTGATTTCACTTGCTAGTTGGCAAAGAAAAAAGACCATTGCTGTATTCAACATTTGAGTCCTTATTTGATCTTTCTGCTATCTGAGGTTGCTAGCTAAAGTGATAGGAGTGTGGGAATCCTTGCAGAGTCTGAAGAGTCAGAGCTGAGAGCTTCTGCAAGTTGAAATTTTTCTGTCAAATATTGAATATTCATTAACTATTATGATTTAAAAGGAAGTCAGCTGGGTGAGTTTTGAGGTTGTGCATGATAGGTACTTGTCCTTGATACGGGAAATAAAACATGCTTTTTTTCTTTATTCAGTACGTTCCCTGAATCAGTCCATGGTGAGCAGGTGGAGCGTGCTCTCATTTCTGATCACAATGGTCTGGGATGCTCAGTATTTCAGAGATAAAATGTTCTAGCTTAAATGTTGCCAAGTAACAAGAGTCCTTGTTTTTTGTTTTTGTTTTTTTTTTTTCTTGCAACAACAGCCCAACACAGGGGATTGTGAATAAAGCATTCGGCATCAACACAGACTCTCTGTATCATGAACTTTCCACAGCAGGGTCTGAAGTTATCGGAGATGTTGATGAAGGAGCAGATCTGCTAGGTAAAAACTTGTCTAGAACCATTCTGTTTTTTCTGGTATGATGACAACTACATTAAGCTTCTAGAAGCACTTACTCTCTCTTTTTTTTCCCAGAACTTGAATGTTTGGCTTTTAAAAAAATTGCATGGAAATTGAGACATTATGTGACTGAAATATGTACCTGCAGTACAGTAATGCTTACTTAGAAAATAACATAAACTGTTGGGTAACTTTTGTTTGTGTTGCCTTTATGTGCATAAGTTATTTTTCTATAGGATTCTCCTCCCCCAACTTTCCCCCTCCCAGTAACTTTACACACTAGCAATTTCACTTGGAATAAAGAGTTTGTTTGAAATTTGAAAGTAAGTAACTCCTTTTGTTAAGTTTTTGAAGTTGAAATGATACGGAAATACTATGGTCTGTATTGCAGTTTTCACCCTTTTATAGTCAAAGAGATGTAGTAATTAACTTTTTAGGCTAATTTTGAAGGAGCTTGCAATACCTGAAGTCTGGTTAAATTCGATATTCCTGACTAGGACTTTGAAGCACTCAGAGAAGCAGCTTTTCCTCAGGTAGCAGTCGGAGCCCTTGCCATACTGTTTGGTTTTGGACTCTTGAGTATCTAGACCTTAATTTGTGACAGAATTTAAGCTTGTCTTGCTGGCCGTTTTCCAGAGTCACGACATTATGAGTGGTCTTTGCATACTCGGACAACAAGGGCAGCTGACAAAGTTTGTAACTGTTGAGCTCACTTTCTTTTTTACTGCTTGATTTAAGGACGCTTAGAAGACATGAAGACTCCAACAATATGCCTTTTATGCATTTAGTAGCAAAGGATCTGATCTGAAAGTGTACATTTACTGACATAAGAGCTGCTTATGGATAATCTTGTAAGTTTGGTTCTTTATATATGTCCAGAACAGGATGAGCTGAATCGTGTCACAGATTTGCAGCAGCTCACCTTTGCAGAAATTAAATTAGGAAGATACTTGTATCACCTTTGAATATGAGTCTTGTATCAGGATCCTCTAAAAGGATATGCTTCTGCAGAGATTTTACCCTATTCATTGAAGACTTAACCATGAAGACGTGGACTAAAGACTGGAAAGGAAATCAATACTGCTTGCTTTATCAAACTCAAAAATCTGAAATTGCTACTATGACAGGCAATAGTGTGACTGGAATGTAAGAACATATTCCAGACTATCATCAGAATGCTTGCAATACCTTTTTGATACAGATACGGTTTGGGTTTTTTTTAGAAACATGGTGCTAGCCCTACAACATGCAAGAGAGCTCTCATGCATGGATTGATGACCGTTGCCTGAAGTGTTAAAACATCTGTTGTTTTACCTCCAACTCAAGATTGCCAGAAGAAAAAAAAATGTACAGAAGACTCAAGACGAAAGCACAGGCTTTCTCTGCCTGCACTTTGAACCAACGTGTGCAGATACTTACAAAACTAAGAATTTAGAAAGAAAACCAAGATTTCCAGGTTTGAGAATCATCTGGATGATAGCAGTCATTGCAGGAGGCCTGGGACTCCTACTTAAAGTGAAGATGACAGTAGGAACTACATGTGACAGTTAAAGCTTCATCTCCCTGCTGTGGAATTAATTTTGGTTAGCCAGCCCCCATAGATTATTGGGAACTCTCTTCCGAGCAGGACCAAAGCATTAAAACCGCTGACAATCTTGCCATTGCCCATCTATTTTACCTTGGTCCTCAGGTGCTTTCTTATTTAGGAGAGTGTATAGTTGATTATATGGCTATTTTCCACTAATCGTTGTGCCAACTGCTGCTTTCCTTCTCTCTCCAAAATGGCTGGGGCATCAGGGATTGTCAGCTTCTAAGAGTTACTATTCAGGAAAATTATTTGCTTGGTGTATGAACTGCTTCAGACAACCTATTTCCCACTTCTGGAAGCCTGCCTTCTGGGAATCCACTTCCTGTTTGGATTACCCTGTAGTCTCACCCAATGATCAGTGAGAAATGCAGACTGTTGTTTCCAAAGTGCCAAAAAATTTAGTTGCCCAAACCTTGCAGGGTTGATCAGCACAGTTTCAGTTAAAGTCAAAGGTGCTTCACCTCTTCCAGTAATAAGGCTGCCCAAAGACCAGTGATTGATTTTGGGTTGTGAGACATCTGTTGTTTCGCAGTTACCACTTGTAATAAAAATGTAGAGACTTTGTTGAACAGTGCCCATGTAAGTGTGGCTTATGAAGAGGACACCTCTGTGCTGGGACAGTTTCCTGGTTTGAGCAGAGCAGCAAAACTCTTGCAGGTGATGGCACAGCGGGCTAGCAGAATAGGAAGGCTTCTCCTGGTTCCTTTTCAAACCTGGGAGTTGGACTGTGATGAAATCAGGTAGTTCTGTGAGTTTCCTATGAGAAATGTTAATCTAATTAATCTTTTTTGAGTTCTGGCTACTGACTCTGTCCACATAAGTGTTCTTTAAAATGAACACACGTGTTGCCAGGATTGTACAAAGGGAGGAAGGCAAAGAGAGATCTTAGAGGTCATGTCTCTGACCAAGAAATGAAATTTATACTTTTTTTTTTTCTTTTTGCTTTGTGCAATAGAAAGCACTAAGAAAGTCTGGTAAAGGTGGAAGCAAAAGACTAGATCGTAGTACTGACAAATCTGTCAACATTATTCAAACTTTTGCCTTTTTTGTTAGATAAATTGGTCTCTAAACCTTAGAGTCTTAAGAGCCATAGAGGAAATTGTGCTTTATGGACACGATGTAAGAAGCAAGATCCACAAGCTGAAAGAGTTCTCTCTCTTTCTGAGTCGTATTTGGAGCTCCCTTCTCTCTGTAAATCCTAAGAATTAATGAAGTTTACCCCCCCTAAGTGAAATTTGAATACTTCCTCTAGTGTCTCTCAAAACTTGGCAATCAATCTTCAAAGAATATTCTCTCCTTTTGGACTCAGTTTCTTAAAGAAAGAGAAATCTCATTAAAGAGGACTTTAAAATAGAAGGATCTTACAGAAATTACCCTTGAGGAGTAGCTGTCAGGCAAGTCTGTTTCTTGAATGGAAAATCTCACTCATTCCTCCTGGATATCTGCAAAGTGACCAACATCTATTGATACAAAATTGGCACTCTTCATTGCAATTTTTGAATATAAAATAATAAATATGTGTGTTGCCCCCCACCTCTAATACTGCTTTCTATACGTGAGTTTGTATAGGAGGTATTCTGGAGAAAAATGTGGAGTGAGAACGATCATTTATTAGTGGTAATTGCAGACCAAATTCCCTTCTTTCTCACTACAGCCTTAGGAATACCAGTTGGCTATTTTCCTGCACATTCCCTTGTTAATCTCAGGTTCTTGCCTCTCGGTCCTGGGTAGGCTCCTCTGTCTTCCATCTCCCCCTTCCTGCTCTGCCCTATCCCAAGAGTTTTTGGACCCGAAGGAGCACTAGCAGTTTGGTTGTGCGCTACGGGCAGGTCCTTCCTTTCAGTTTTAGGATGTCCAACTGTGTTTGCTTTGGAAATTAAAACCTCCCTTCAAATAAGAGGGGTTTTGTAGTGAAGACAGAAATTCAGCCGTATTAGCGGTAAGTTTGTGTACAGAAGTTGAAATGGGATTATCAAACTGAGTCCCAGCACTGCATTGGAAAAAAGAAACAAAAAAAGTTTTTAAATGCCACTGATTGTCTTTTGCAAACTGAAGTGTCATTGAAGAGCACATTTATAATCAGAAGATCTAGTTGCTAAAATCACAAGGGGAAGGGAAATGAGAAGGTAGTGGGAACTAGCTGTTCTGCATTTAGTGGTACAGGACTAAATAAAGAGACAATAAAGAGAAATGGAGGTTTATCTAGTCCAGGAAGATGCAATTGCCTGAAATTCACGTCTGGAAAACTGGGGGCAGCTGAGGCATGTGGCTGCAGTTGTACCACGGGTTACCTTCCCTTGATTTTTTTTTTTTATGTCCTGTATGTAGAGTCATGCCATCTACAGTCATGGCAGGTCCTGTCCTTACTATTTCATGCCTTTTGACATTGAAATGGCTGAATCATTGTTAATTTTTTTTGAACAAAATTTTTATTTTGTTGGTTTCAGTCACTGATTGATCCTTTTTTCACTTCCTTTTTTCCCTTGTCTCTCTGTGCTTCGCTGGACATGGCCCATAGGGGAGTTCTCAGGTGTGTATCTCCTCTGCTCAGTTTCCTTTCTTGTTTCCTTTTCCTTGTTGAGGTCGAATGACGTGGTATACACGTGTGATACTCCCCTGCTCTTGTCCAAACACGGTTGGCTTTGCGGACTTCTCCCACCTTCGCCTCGCTTGGTTGCCTTGCACCGGTGGGTCCCTGGGCAGCAGGACATCCCTGCTCTGTGCTCACACGCCTGCTGCGTTTCAATAAGCTTTTCTTGTGTGGCTTTCTGCAGGTTTGCTCCGCTGTGTTACACTGGCCTGTCACTCAAGGTCCTGGGGCTGACAGTGCTTTTTTTTCTATCAGGATGGGTGCTGTGCTTGGAGCAGAGCTTGGGTGGGCACAGGACTGAGTGAGGGTCCCAGTCTCCTCTCAGCAAACCACGCTGTGAGGAATCCCTCCGTGTGCATGATGGCTGCTGTGGGTTAGTCGATGCATACTGGACCTGTTCTGGAATAGCTGTAGTGACGTTAAAGCCACTTTCTTGATGGATTGGAGTGGCAAAGCCTCTGTCTTTCATTGAAGCTTTGCCTTTCTGGCAGGTCTGTCTTTTTTGTTTTGGTGAAGGAGACTCCCTGCCATGGGGCCATGGTTTGTCGTCAGAATGTTTGCACCTTTCCATAAAATGCACTTGGGCCCTGATGCAATTTCAGGTGAAGTCAAGGGGATCTCTCTTGATTTCAGTGCAAATTGGATGAAGTTTTCACTGTAGTAAAGGCAAGTGACTTACGCAGCGCAACAGCCTAATGCTGTGTGGTGATGAGGTCTGTCACATTCCTTTCCCCGGCACCTCTTGGTGTTGGCTCTGTGAGGTTACAAAAGAATAGGATGGCATCAGCCTAGTTTAAAATGTTTTTACTGTAAACCACTTTTTTGTGGTTGTTTCTCAGAAAACCTCCCACCAAAGCTGAGTTGGAGTTTGTCGCACTACGGAGGTGGATTTGGGCCTGTGCAAAAAGGCCAGATGAGAGCTTTGATATCCGCCCCCCCCTTTTGTTTTTCCTCCTGCCCCTGTCCTTCCCTCACCCTGTTCATAATGTCTGTTGAACTACCTTTGTTACGGGGATGGGAAACCCAGAGACGTGCTGGCCAGGGAAAATGATGAAAATGGAAGAAAGAGATGAGCTCATCTCGAGCTTGTCCTGACATCTCAAGTGTAAATCCCTGTTAGCCAGACTGCAGCAGAATGAGGTGTAGGTTAGTTACTACTGAGCCTCACATATACTGGCACCACACACAGATGTACACATGCTGATGAGCTGCTCTGTTTGCTATTTACAGACTGGTACTTAATGGCTGCTTTTTTTCTCTTCCTTTCTTCCCCTTTGTCCCCATCTCTTTCTGTTCCCTTTCTCGTATGGGATGGCTCTCATAGTACGGGATGATTTCTTTGGTAAGGCGAAGGCCTTTTTTCTTTTTTTTTCTTTTTTTTTTTTAATGTGCATTTTTTTCTAAATTTCTTCCATTCACTGAACATCCTTCCATATGTCTTGCATTACCTTGGGTTTTTTTTTGTGTGATGGTGACATCACCTCTCCAAGAAGCAGGACGCAGCTGGTCATTAGTGGTGGTTTGGGTATTCTCCTCTGTTTCTTGTAGTTGATTATCCACTTTGATGCTTCACACTATTTGCCTGGCTATGGGAGGTGGACAGGGTAGGATGGGCTCTGTTAGACAGGGCTCTGTCCAGACTTCTTTTCCCTTTGCTCCACGCCACAAAAGAGTGAAGAGATCTCCTTTTAGTCACTCCACAGTGGTTTTTTTACCTGTTACAGCCTGCATAAAGTTGTCATGGTGTCCATTCTATGGCTCTGGGATGGCTTCATCCATTTCTTTATTGCAAAACTAGCCCTTCAGACCTCTCCCTGGTTAAAGCATTGGGCTGTGACTGTGTCACACACAAATAAAGTAGAAGCCATGGTGAGGATACTGATGGTTGGGATGCTGTATAGCTTTTAGTTCTGGCTTGATAGCCCACCCTCTTCACCTGAGTTCCTTTCTATCCCAAGAACAGCTACAGAGAGGGATAGATGACTCAAGATTGGGAAGGAAGAAGATTTAGTCCAAAAAAACCTGGGGATGAGCTCTTTCC